ACTCGATTTGCCTGGTGATAACATCCGCTACTCGATTTACCTCTTAAATAAAAAAAATACATTTAAATATATTTAAATTAATAAATTTTTAAATATTATAATAATAATACTATCAATTAAAATAATGTACAACACCGACAAAGGCTAGTTTAAGTCGTAAATAATTTGATATTATTTAAGCATGTTTCGAGTTTGAAGTTTTGTGTGTGCGGAAAATTTCTCTTAGGATATTCACACATCGAAATCATATATACGACACGAATCAGTCCGAATTAGGATAAAAAAATACACTAAAAAATATCAAGCAATATGAACAGACTTTAAAATTTTCAATTGGTTTCTAAAAATAATATAACATTACACCTTTTTTTAATATTATTTTGGTTGGCCGGTTGCAACATGTTTGTTGCTACATATCATGCAACCTTAAAAATGGCATGAAATTGGAAATCGGATTGAAATAATATTTTATATACTGTAATCTAGCTAGGTGAAAATGTTCAGTCGAAGTTGAAATTTATTTTAACTTAAAAAAATATTTGAGTTTAAATATTAATTTAGTTGAATAGCTCGAATTCGAGTTGTATTACATTCGTATAAATTTAATTTATATTTTTAAACTACACTTTTGAAAAATAAATATATTGTATTTATCGTTTGTATGTGCCGTTCATCCCTTTTCTTTTTAATCTTTATTGGTTGACGACGACATCAATTTTAATTTGATTTTTAACCGGCGATAGTCTTTATTGTTCTTTTATTTTCTTATATCACATCTTTATTTTTCTTTTTCTTTTTAATTTTAATAACTTTATCTTTATGACACATTTTCCTCTGACTTTTGGTATGTTTTCGATCGTTTAATTGTTGTTATCATTTATCTTTTTTCTAAGGATTTATTTAACATTGTCATGACTGATAAAGATGACGCTTATCTATTATCATATTGATATTTCCTACTTCGGACCTTCGAATTAGATTTGATATTCGATTTTCATTTGTGGATAATTTTTCATGTCGCTTGGCTATGATTTGCGGTTTGTCGGTGGTCTTTCAATAGTTTGATCTCTTTTTGTGGTTCGTTTGTCGATGTGGTTAGATCTATTTGTATATATATTTATTCAAGTTTTTTTGTTTAGTTTTTAACATTTTCTTTAAATGATCCTTATGTGATCTTAAGTCACTAGTTTTTGTATGAATGGTTATAGAAAAATATCCTAACTATGTGCTTAATTTATGTTTACGATTATAAATTTTTATTCTAATTTAAGATATTACCTATTTTTAATAAAAAAATTAACCGCTTCTATAATAAAAAATACTTTTAAAAGATGAAGACCTAATAAAGATGATAACTTTCCTAAGTTGTGTTAAAATATTCATGCATTTTTAGTGTTATAAACGAGTCGAACTGAGTTTGAGTAGTGTTGAGCTTGACTCAATTTGAAAAGTATAAAATTAAATTCGACTCGACTAAATAAATTCACAAGCTTAAAATTATCAAATTCGACTCAAGTTTAAAATAAAAGATTGAAACTCGACTCGACAAATCCTCCTTATCATATTCATGCATGTAACTTTATACTCAGAATCTGATTCTTTAGGTTTGATTAATTCCATTCCATACCTTTTAAGTCATCTTTGATTGTCTTATAGTTCTTCAAATGCTTCCGTCTCCGAAGAGAATCCCGTAGGTGTCGCTTCGTTCATCTCTCTTTCGAACAACTTAAGTTCCCCTGATTCCCGGATGTCTGCAATATAACTCAAACTTACCTCTCTTACTTTATCGATACGGATGTAATTGCTCCAACTCTAATCTTTTAAGAAGAACAATATTCTCTTTTATCACTGAAATCACTCATTCAAGTTTTTTTCTACAATCGCGACGAGGACTCGAGTGATTGCAGGTATTTTGATTTTCGGAGCACCTTGCAGTTAAAGAATATTATATAAAGCTCGCTAAGAATATTAGTGAGAAAATTAATCAACATGATCATGTATTAGGTACTAGATGAAGAACAATTACAATAGTTCGAAGCCATTAACATTTTAATACCTGGAATCTATCATAGCATCTTACTTATAGTTGTAAAATCATGTGGAATTTAAAAGGGAATCAAATTTATTAAATTCTAAATTGGATGTCCCTTGTTCCCATATGTAATGGGTAAGGGGAGGTAAGATAGTAGGTTGCCCCCAACACCAGGTTGAGAGCAGCTTCCGTAAAAGACCTCCGAATTATGAAATGCCCTCCGTGGGACTCAATCCCACGACCTCAAGGTTAAGAACCTTGTGCTCTACCAACTGAGCTAGATAGTCATCTCATTCTTAAATTCTAAGAGGGACAAAAATAGATTATTAACAAAAATATAAAGAAAATATCTAAAATATATGATAATTTGAAACTTTTAGAAGAGGCAACTGCTCACTTACGTCTTTTGAAACATCCCTGATTATCCCACCAGCTCCCCTCGGTATATCCATGGTGGTACTTTATATTTGTTTATAATTGTCCCTGCACTTAAGGCAGAAAGTTGTACTAAGCAATCCAAAGCTTGATCTGAACTCCCGCCCTTTTGGATGGCAGCCAATGCAGTTTCCTTTAGTTTCATGGCTCGAGCCCTCTCTGGTTGGTCCACAGATACTGAGTGAGACAAGATTCGAGCCAGTTTGGTTGCGTCAGGGACAGTGTTTAAACCCTCGCAGACACGGATAGCCACTCCCAGTTCTTCAGCCAGCAGCTTGGCGTTCTCGAAGTGATCGACTTGCATGGGCCACACCAGCAACAAAACTTCACCCAGTAGTCCCTCTAATGCCGAGTTCCAGCAACACTGAGTCAAGTACGAACCAACAGCGGCGTCCAACCTTTGATTACTAGTCCCTTCCCTCGTACTCTCTCTTCGAACCCGGACGGAACATTGTTTCGATCTCTGCCATCTTCTTCCATGATGTTGACGGCCCAAATGAAAGGAACTCCGCTCTCTTCCAATGCTGAAGCCAACGTCTCCATTTGTCGTTTGGACAATGAAATCTGGGTTCCGAATCCGACATACACCACAGATTTATCGACATGGAAAGAATCAAGCCATGCTATTATTTGATGTTGGGGCATGGAACCTGGTCCGCCTCTCTCAGTGCCATTAGGTTTTATAGGAAGCAAAGGCCCTATAGACCACAGTCGATCATGGTGGATGAACTCATCTTTGATCATATGCATTTTGTCACCATCTAGCTCAGTAAATGAGTTGAAGATAAGACCCCAGCTTGTTGCAATCCCCATATGTATCCTTGTGAAAGAATCATCTTCAGAACCATAGTTCAGGAACCTTGACATCCACGGAAACAAAGTACTTGGATTAAGAACACTGAAACTCAGATTCTGGATATTAAGAGACGAAGCAAGTGAGTTGACCCAGGAACTAAGGAGCATATCAGAGAGAACGGCAACAGGAGGCGATGGGTGGGTTCGAAACCATTTAACCAAAGGATCGAAAAGTTCACTCAATGATTTGATGAAATGTGGTGCTAAGGAAACATCTTGCATGATCTCGACTCCGGGAGGGATGGGAGAGGCTGAACAAGTAGGGAATGGAAGAACCAGTGTATGAACACTGGTGGAAGAATGAAGAGAGAGAAGAGGATTTAGATAGTGAAGGTTTTTGGGGGTGACGACAATTGTGACGGTCAAGCCACGACGGAGGAGCTGGTGGATTAGGTCCATATGGGGAAGAATATGGCCACCAGCTGGGAATGGGATCGTCAAGACGTGTACGCCATTGTTCTTCTTGTTAGTTGTCATTGAGAAATACAGTCTCCGCTTTCTTCACCTATATATGTCTACCCCCTAAAATGGAACCAATCTTACTACTCATCCAAAGATAACCTAAGCCAACAATTAGGTAAACATTTATAGTGTGCACTGTGCAGTTTTATTTTAATAAGATTAAAAATAAAATAAAAATAAAATAGACCAGCAATCAGAAAGGTTTAAAAAACATGGCAAAGAAAGAAGGGAGCATCATTATAAAAAATAATGCATTAAAGAAGAAGAAAAAGAGGACATGAGAGTTAAGTGATTTTATGATTCCAACTATTTCTACTAAATTAATAATATAGAAAAGGAATACGCATGATTTTATATTAAAGGATGTAAAGTTATATTAAATGTAAATTTAAAAGGTTATATTAAAAATTTAGAGGTGTAATAAATAAATCACATTTTTATTTTGTTCTGATACATTATGCTTCCTCGAATTCTAAATTTTGCATTAACAAAGACTATTCTTATAACTACGTCTACAAGGCATACATGGTGAGCAAATTATGGCTGAAATCAGTCATCAAGAAACATGGAGGACACAATATATTAGTAATCATCGACAAAGGGTTATTCCTCGAGATAAGATCAAAATCAGGTTCTCTTACGAATAATCATGATGTGCACGGTAATCATCTCCGCATTCAGAGATACAATTAACCGATCTCTTCGATAACAACTTCCACGGTTCAAGAATCAACTGAAATGGAAAGAAAACTTTCAACATCATTACTTTATCCTGCCATGTTTAAATATTTAAACAACATTCTCTCTGGTTAAGCAATTACAGAGAAAAACAACGACTGGAGCCGGGAAGTGACTATAATGAAGGCATACGAAGGATCTGAGTTCATAAACATAAGCTATTGTAGCAGTTGCATATAAACAAACATTATAAACAGCTTTGCTACTCAGACTTGGACGTATGACATGGCATGTTCGATATTGTTTTCCTAAACTTTTCATGTGTTTGGAGGTTTGGAGTATCATATCCTCGTACTCATGTCCGGATATAAGTTGCCAAGTTGAACACGAATGTCAAAATGGGTATTTCAAGAAAACAAAGAGTTCAACAGAGGTGGATATAGACTATTAAATCGAAGTAACTAGCAATTCGAGTGAAGTAACTCACAAGTTAACATATCTGCTTATGCATAGAAGAGATTTCAGGAGGCTTAGCTTAGAAAATAAGCTTTCTTAGTCTTCAGATTCAAGCTCCCTCAGATTTTTGGACACCAAGTTTACTTCTAAGGGTAGCCGCTGTGTGTGTTCTTCGATATAATTTAAAACCATCTGAAGTTGTTCTTGGTAAGCAGCAAATTTCTTTTTCTTGCAATGAAGTTCCAACGACAAATCTAGAATTTTAAGATCTTTTTCATCCTTCAAATCAGAAGTTAATTCATATAAGGGCAAGCTATTGAGTTACATTTATAAATAAATCCAGTTAAAGATTACAAGAGGCTGGTCCCAAAGAGGATGCAACTAAAGGAAGCTTAGCTGTAAAAGGAATGGCCAAATCAGAAGTTTTTAGCTTCTCCACGAATCATTAAACTGAAATACTTACAATAACATACCTCATAAAACGTGATTCGATGCGACCGTCGAGGTGGTATTTTGCTCGGATTAAGTTCATGATTATGTTCTCAAACAAAACCATAGATGCCCCATTTCCCCCACCTTTTGCTGCTATTCTCAGCATTGCATTACATCCCTCTCTCGTCGCAGGCCGTGATTGGGAAACTCTGGTTTCTTTCTTTGTATATCTCTCTGCACGAAAACCTTCTTTTGAGCAAACGAACTCTCGACCGATAATCGAATTATCCTTGAGTGATCGGCGTGTGCGATTGTTCATAGTACTCCCTAGCATCCTCCGCTGACTCGAACACCATGCCTGTATATGGTTCCCTGTGTTTCATAGTCACAGGAAAACGTTGATCCAATGAGTTAATCAAATTACCATTTTCATCCATCTTACTATCCGACAACTCATCATCAAGCATTGCATAGCCATCAAAATGTTTTAGTCAGCCATCGTCGATAATTCCAGCTCGAGTTAAGCTCCGGATTAGAGGTGCTACGCATCACAAAACTATCAGAAACCAAGTCAAGATCAGTCCAAAAGAAGAAGAAAAAAAAAACAGAAATTCCAAAATCATTGAACAATCCAACTTCTCCAACGAGAAGAAGCAATGGCTAACAGTGAGTAATAACCAAGCAACAAGCCTAGATTCGTATAGAAAATGGAATCTCACAGCACCTCTTAATAATTTCACTAATTTGCTCTAAATAACATCAAATTACATCGATCTCTCAACATTTGCAAATATGAGAGCTAAGATTTCCCGAGAGAAAACATATTGAATTTTGGACTTCTAATAACTGAATAAAGTATATAAAAGAAAACCAAAATGTATCAACTTTCGGCCTTAATCGTTCAAATACCAAAAACCCAACAATAAAAAACAACATAAAATTCAAATAAAATGGGAATTAGAGGAAAGTAGAGCAGTGGAAGGAGATAAGAATTTACCTTGTTCTTCTGATAATGTGGGGGTTTCAATGAAAAAACGTTCAGAGAAGAATAGCTTGACATGAATTTCAATGGCGGCAGGTACACCGAGACACCATTAAAACAAGGCTTAATATAAAAAAAAAGATTAATCACGAATTCAGTGCCTAAACTATCAATTTTGATCCGTTTCAGTAACTAAATTTTTCATTTTTCAAAATCATACATAACGTTTAGTTTTTGTTTCATTTTAGTATCTCGTCGTTAAAAATTTAACAAACAAGCTCGTTGGCCATCACATCCGTCGATCTATGAAGCCCAAACTTTCTAGCCCGCATATTTTCGACCACTTCAACGCGATTTCGACCTCCGTTTCACCGGAAAAATGCCTCAATCTCCCAAAATCAACGATAGACTCTTCAATTTCTTCATCCTTCGATCTCTATGATCCACTATTTGTGATGGGCTTGAAACTAGACTATGTTGGTCGACTCGTCATTCTCTCGATGTCCACTGTTTTGATTGGTCGTCCATCTACCAAAGTTATACCACGTCAGCATGTCCGTTAAGTTTTTAACTGTAGGATACTAAAATGAAAGTATATTACTAAAATGGATCAAAAATTATAGTTTAGATACTAAATGCGTAGTTTATCCAAAAATTATACAAACTATACCTATTTTTAATTTAGGTGTATAAATATTTTTTCGATTAATATAAATGTCTAATTTTTTACATTACTCTTTTAAGTGTATACATAATAACATACATTTAAAAAAACATCTAAACTTTTTTGTTTTTTTAAAAATTAAAAATATTATTAAAAACATTTAAAAAAACAAAAGCAATTCTTAACCCTGCGTTGGTACTGTCTTTTTCCCAAATTGACAAACGACTAACTTTCACAGTCAGCTAAACGATCAAACGGTTGACTATTACAGTTAACCAAATGGCTAAACGACTAAAGAGATTTTTTAGATTTGAATATTTGAGATTTTAGAGATTTAAGTTTAGGAGTTTAGGAAAATGAGACAATGGTTGGTCATTGGGTGAGCACGACTGAGGTGATTGTTCGTCGAGAGTGACGACCAAGGTCATACTGATGATGGCAACGATAACTGATGTTTGGGATTTGAAATTATGATTTTTAATATTTTGGGACTTTGAGATTTTTTAAAATTATGATTTTTAATTTTTTTTATTTTGAATAAAAATTTCAAAATTCAATAAATGTGAAACATGTTATATTACATAATTTTTTATGATCTTTACGAACTAGACACTTAAAATAATAATATTTATAACATTAAGCATCTATATTATCAAAAAAAATATATACACTTAAATTGGGAGATAGAGAATAAAATAAGATAAAATACACTAATCATTATTAATGTTTGGATAAAATTTTCCTTTCACTCCTTATATTTAAAATTTTATTATAATCATTTATATTATCAATTTATAATAAAATAATCACCATACTATCATTTCGTTAAATTAATAATATGACAAAATAGTTTATTAAACACCATGTGGAATTCTTTAACCCATGCGGTTCCTCTTTTCCTGCAAATGGTTGTTGATTGACTCACTTCTTCCACCGATAATAAATCTAGAAATATCTTGATATATATATATATATATATATATATATATATATATATATATATATATATTAATAATATAATTTTTTTGTATTAATGAAAATAAAAATAAAAATTTAAGGTGTACATCATCAATAAAAAATGAATAATTAATATAAAATAAATCAAATTTCAAAACGGATATGTGTTTATCCTAAACAATATTTGCATCTGCTATACTCCGACTATCTTTGTTTGTTGAATATCCTTATGGAATCTTTTATCGAATAATATCAGTAGTTAAATAGAATGTTGTTCTCTTTTAAGATAACAAGTAAAATGAAAAGATAATATTTTTTAATCACCTTGTATTATTCCGAACAGATACAGTGGTGTAAAATGAAAAGCATTGTATACTTTAAGGGTAAAGTTATAAATTAAACCCTTAAAAATGATGGTTGGTAGAGGCCATGAAACCCCCACAGTTTCTCTTGCAATTGAAATTGTTAAAAACTGTTAAAATGTTGGAATCAGTGTAAGATTTTAAACCCAAAATTTTCTTGCGCCTGTGTTTGGGAAGAAAAACTGCAAAAAGTCTGCTTTTTCAAGACCAGAAAAGGAACAGAACATACTTCAAAGATCAAAAAAGTCAAGCTCTGCTCCCAGTTGTAAGCTTCTTCTATCCTTTTTCTTTTCATTTCTGGTTTGTATCTTCTTCAATGTTATTTAACTTTTAACTTCTTTACCTACATTTTTTATGGTTTGGAAAATTTATATTGACAATTTATGAACTGGGTTTGTTTTGATTTTTAATTGCCGAACATATTTAATTAGCAGAGTACAAAGAACTGGAGCATTTTTTCTAAGTTAAAAGAAATAATTTTCCTGGTTGGCTTTACTTTTAGCTGTGCAGAAGAGGAAAATTTATGGTCTTGAACTGGGATTTTCGTTTTGATGATTTGTAAACTTCTTAAACTGAAAATAATGTTGGAATCTGGATGGACATATGATTTTATTTGTAGGAGGAGCGAAAACAGATTATCAAATGAAAATACATAGAAAATTTAAAATATAGGAAATTTTGAAAATGTTAGGGGGCCGATCGTTCCCATCCGCTCCCCTCTCAGTCGTCCCCAGGGGCGGATGCACTAAGCCCATCCCATTATTTAAGAGAAAAAGTGAAATTTAGTATAATATGTTAAAGAAAAAAGAAAGATTTTTTTTGTAACCATTATTTTTAAGAAAATAAAATTAAAATTTTGGATCCCATTTATAAATTTTTAGATCCGCCACTGGTCGTCCCAGGTAATTTGGTTGTGGCTTTTACTTTCCTTCTTTTTGGTTTACTTAATTTGCTTCATCTCAAATTCATTTCAAAGTGCATGATAAAATGGAATTAGATGATATATTTCTTTAGGTTACGAGATCATTTTTTGTGTATATATAAAAATTGAGGAAAACTATGGGTGAGGAAGTAGATTATGCGTTACTTTATTTCATGTTCACAGGACCAATGACAGGGACTGCTAGTCCACATGAATTTTCGGATACTGATAGAAGCTCCGAGGATGAAACTGCAGTTAACATTGCCATTTGTGAAGGGATCAGACAAGAACTGTTGGAGGAACATAATATAATGGACGGCGAGATCATTTCATTAGAACAAGCTGGTGAAGGTTTAGATTCAGGGAATTTGGAGCCATATACTGGGATGACTTTTCAGTCCCTAGATGATGCAAGGGATTTTTATTTCGTATATGCCAAGCGCACCGGGTTTACCATCTGAACAACCCGGATTCGTCATTCACTAAAGACCATATCTATAATTGGGCGGGATTTTGTGTGTTCTAGAGAAGGTTTTCGAGCTGCAAAGCATACACATAGAAAAGACAGGGTTCTTCCTCCAAGGCCGGTAACAAGAGAAGGGTGCAAAGCAATGATAAGGTTGGCAGCTAGGGATGGGGGTAAATGGGTTGTTACCAAATTTGTATGTGAACACAGCCACAAGTTAATGTCACACTGCAAATTTCCCGGAGAACTGCCAACTGTTAACATGCTCACCGAGGTAAGTCTTAGATGCTTGAAAGTAGTCTACCGGGTTGATCGAACTCATTATTATTGTAGGTAGGCTTTAGAACATGTTGTGGAACTAAATTATAGACTCCGGGAGGTGACTGATTTTAAATTGATATTTCACAGCATCGGTTATCATTAATCATCAATTCCCAAAGCATATATCAAAAATAGCATCCTCCACTAATTGAATGATTTGGCTGTTCTTTATGTGAAGCTTCAATACAAACTCATCTGGCTGTTTTGAAGTGAAACTTTATGCTAAGAACTCTGTGTGGCACTCGTGAAGAGATCTTTGCCAACGGTTATACATGCGGGTTCTATGCTTGGTTTGTGGATCTAGGCATTAGATATATTGTCTAGAAAAGATTTTTTTTTATGTTCATATATATCGAGCTAGTGCAAAGGGGGAGTATGTGAAGTGAACTGTATAGAAGTTTCCAAGAAAATGTAGCCTTTACTCGTAGTCCGGTGTTGAATCACATTCACAATTCTTTTTCCGTTGCGGTCTATGGATTACATTTGGGTCCAAAAGGTTGTGTTGAAGTTCATACTAGAGATCGAAAGAAGAATGATACACTTTATACTATGTTACCAAAAGATTCTATGAGAAGTTTATACTAGAAATGGGAGATTTTTTAACTTATGAAGTAGCTTCTAAGAGTTAGAGAAGCATAGGAAACAGGGATAACAGTATACTAGTGGCTTAAGTTTGGCAACTGGACCAATTTAGCTATTCGAGTCTTTGAGTTAGTGTAAATACGAATTTTTGGCCCCGATACTTTGTTACTATGAATTATTCTCATCTGTAGCTGTTCAATTAACTATTATGGCCTTCTTCTGTAACTTTTATTATGTAGTGAACTGCAACTCGCTGTGTTTGTTTGTTCATAAAGTTGTCAATCCTATGCATGTACTTCCCACGAGTGATCTTTAAAGAATATTACGCTCGATTTTCACTGCAACCGTATTTCTTGTTTTATACGAGGAATTGTTTCCGGTCGTCAACCATGCTCATGATGTTCCTCAACTCTTATACACTTGCATTGATGCTTTTGCAACTGACTCCTGGTTTGGTGCTTTTTCAGGAAGAGAGAAAAAATACAAGATTTATACAGCGAGCTACAGCATGAAAAAGAACGGTCCGCTGCATTTAAACGACAACTACAGATGATTTTCAAAGATCTTGAAGAACATGCTGAATTCATGTCGGTTAGAGTTGAAGACATAGTTGACAGCCTGAAAAGGGTTGAACTCGATGATTGTAGCTCAAGTAGCCGCGAACACCTGTAAGTTTTCTGTGGGGTTGGCTGTAATTAGACCTAATTTCATGACAGGAGACTGCTAAAATCAGCCCTCGGGCTACAACATTCAAAGTGTTCTGAGGCTGACA